CAGTCACGCCATCCTGCAGTCTTTGGCAATCACTAATCTACATTCGGTCTCTACAGATTTGCCTATTCTGTGCATTTCATATAAATGGAATCATACAATATGTAACCTTTTGTGTCTGACTTCCTTCGCTAAGCATAGTGTTTTCAAGGTTTATCATGCCGTATCATATATTAGTACCTCATTCCTTTTTATGGTTGAATAATATTCCAGTGTATAGACGTACAGGACTATATTTTGTTTATCCATTCATCAGTTGATAGACATTTGTGTTGTTTCCACTTTTTGGCTATTATGAATAATGCTGCTATGAACATTTGTGTACAAGTTTTTCTATGAATATATGTTTTGTATGAACATACGTTACCATATACTGGGTCATATGTTAACTCTGTGTTTAACTTTTTGAGGAACTACTGGACTGTTTTCGAAAGGAGAGGTATTATTTTATATTCCTACCAGCCGTGTATGGCAGTCCCATTTTTTTCCATATCCTCACCAACACTTGTTATTTTCTGCTGCTTCTTTTTTTTAATGATAGCCATCCTAGTGCGTGTGAAATGGTATTTCATTATGGGTTTGATTTTCATTTTCTTAATGCCTGAAGATATTGATGATCTTTCCATGTGCTTTCTGGCCATTTGCATATCTTCTGTGGAGAAATATATATTCGCATTCTTTGTACATTTTTAGTTAGGTTATCTGTCTTTTATAATTGAGTTGCAAGAGTTCTTCATATATTCTGAATATAAATTTCTTATCAGATATATGATTTGCAAATATTCCCTCCCACTCTCTGGGTTGTATTTTCACTTTGTTTTTTTTTTTGTGAGGAAGATCGGCCCTGAGCTAACATCTGCCAGTTCTCCTCTTTTTGCTGAGGAAGACTGGCCCTGGGCTAACATCCATGCCAATCTTCCTCTACTTTATATGGGACTCCTCCACGGCATGGCTTGCCAAGTGGTGCATCGCTGCGCGCCCAGGATCCAAACCGGTGAACCCCAGGCCGCCGCAGTGGAGGGCGCGCACTTAACCGCTTGTGCCACCGGGCCAGCCCCTCTTTTCACTTTCTTGATAGTGTCCTCTGCCCAAAAGTTTTTAATTTTGATGAAATCCAATTTCTCTCTTTTTTTTGTTGCTTGCGCTTTTGGTGTCATAGTTCAGAAACCATTGCCCAGTCGAAGGTCAGGAGGATTTACTCCTATATTTTCTTCTAAGAGTTTTACAGTCTTAGCTCTTACATTTAGGTCTCAGATCCATTTTGAGTTAATTTTTGTGGATAGTGGGTCTAAATGCATTCTTTTGCATGTGGATATCCAGTTGTCCCAGCACCATTTGTTGAAAAGACCATTCTTTCTCCATTAAATGATCTTGGCACCCTTGATGAAAATCATATGACCATAGATTTCGGGATTTATTTCTGGGCTCTTAATACTATTCTATTTACCTATGTCTATCCTTATGCCAGTACTACGCTATCTTGATTACTAGAGCTCTGGAGCAGGTTTTCGAATCAGGAGGTTTGATTTTTCCAACTTGGTTCTTCTTTTTCAAGATTGTTTTGGCTACTCTGGGTCCCTTGCAATTCTATTTTAGGATCAGTTTGTCCATTTGTGTAAAATATGCAGTTGGAATTTTAATCAGAATTGCATTGAATCTGTTGATGAATTTGGGGAGTATTGCCATCTTAACAATGGTGTCTTCTAATCCATTAACATAGAATCTGTTTCCATTTATTTAGGTCTTCTTTAATTTATTTCAGCAATGATTTGTAGTTTTCAGTGTACAAATCTTACACTCCATTAAATTTATTACTAAGTGTTTTATTCCCTTCAATGCTATTGTAAATGGAATTGTTTTCTTAATTTCGTTTTCAGATTCTTCATTGCTGGTATATAGGAATACCATTGATTTTTGTATATTGATCTTGTATCCTACAACCTTATTGAAGTTGTTTATTAGCTGTAATAATTTTTAGTGGGTTCTTTAGGTTTTTTTGTATATAATATTATGTCTTCTGCATATAGAAATAGTTTTACTTCTTTTCTGCTCCGGATACCTCTTATTTCTTTTTCTTGCCTAATTGTACTGGCTAGAACCTCCAGGACAAAGTTGAATAGAAGAGTTGAGAGCAGACATCTTTGTCCTGTTCCTGATCTTAGGGGAGAAGCTTTCAGTCTTTCACCATTATGTATGACATCAGCTGTGAGTATTTTGTAAATGCCATTGATCAGGTTGAGGAAATTCCTTTCTATTACTCATTTGTTGAGTGTTTCTATCATGATAGCTGTTGTATTTTGTTTTTTCTGTGTTTATTGAGATGATTTTATATATACATATATAGTATATATGTAGTTTTGTTCTATTAATATGTTGTGTTACATTGATTATATTCATATGTTGAACCAACATTGCAATCCTGGGGTAAATCCCACTTGATCATGGTGTATAACTCTTTTAATGTGCTGCTGGATCTAGCTTGCTAATATTTTTTCAAGGATTTTTGCATCATTATTTACAAGGAGTATTGGTCTGTAGTTTTCTTTTCTTGTGATGTATTTGGCTGGTTTTGGTATTAGGGTAATACTGGCTTCATAGAATGAGTTGGGAAGTATTTCCTCCTCTTTTACATTTGGGAAAACTTTGCAAAGAATTGGTATTCTTCTTTAAATATTTGATAGAATTCACCAGTGAAGCCATCTGGGCCTAGGTTTTTCTTTGTGGGAAGTTCTTGATTGCTGATGCAGTGTCTTTACTTGTTGGTCTGTTCAGATGTTATATTTCTTTGTGAGTCACTTTTGATAGTTTGTGTCAGTCTAAGAATTTACCCATTTCATCTAGGTTATTTAATGTTAATTTAAGCATATAATTGTTCATCGTATTTCTTGTAATCCTTTTTCCCCCTGTAAGGTCAGTAGTAATGTCTTCTCTTTCATTCCTGATTTTAGTGATTTGAGTCTTTTTTTCTTGCACAGTCTTAAATAATGGTTTGTCAATTTTGTTGATCTTTTCAAAGAACCAACATTTGGTTTCATTGATCTTCTTTGTTGTTTTTCTATTCTCTTTTATTTATTCCAGTCTAATTTTTATTATTTATTCCCTTCTGCTTGCTTTAGGTATAGTTTACTCTTCTTTTTCTAGCTTCTTAAGATGGAAGTTTCAATTATTTTGAGATCTTTCTTCTTTTTTACAAAGGCTTTACAGCCTTAAATTTGCCTCTGAGCGCTGCTTTCTTGCCATCCCGTAAGCTTTGGTGTGTTGTGTCTTCATTTGCATTCATCTCAAAGTATTTTCTAGATTTTCTTGTGATTTCTTCTTTGACTCATTGTTTTTTTAGGAGTATGTTGCTCAATTTCCACATATTTGTGAATTTCCCAAATTTCCTTATGGTATTGATTTCCGATTTCATTCTGTTGTGGTCAGAGAAGATACCATGTATGCTTTTTAAGCCTTTTAAATTCGTTGAGAATTATTTTATGGCCTAACATTTCATCTGTCCTGAAGAATGTTCCATGTGCACTTGAGAAGAAGTAGTATTCTGCTGGGTAACAAATTCTATCAATTTGCTGTTGGATTGAGTGTTCTATAGATGTCTGTTAGGTCTCTGTTTTTGTGTTAGGGTATACCTTCAACACTAAGCCAGGAAGTTTGAAATTCTGCTTTAGCATTCACTTTCTGCTTGCACAGAGCCTCAAGGTGAGTCAGAGGTGAGATTAGAGCCTTCTCAGGTCTTTCCTGAGTTTATGCACGATCCAATGCAATGCCCAGTCTTCTAGATTCCTAGAAAAAATTTGGAGCTTTTCAAACCGCCTATGGATAGCTCATTCCTCAGCTTTTCCTTTTTTTTTTTTTTTTTGTGAGGAAGATTAGCCCTGAGTTAACATCTGTTGCCAATCCTCCTCTTTTTGCTGAGGAAAATTGGCCCTGGGCTGACATCCATTCCCATTTTCCTCTACTTTATCTGTGGGATGCCTGCCACAGCATGGCTTGATAAGCAGTGCCTAGATCTGCACCTGGGATCCAAACCTGCGAATCCCAGGCCACTGAAGTGGAGTACGTGAACTTAACTACTACGGCACTGGGCTGGCCCCTCAGCTTTTCCTTTTGAGCTCCCTGGCTAGTCTGTTGTTTGCCTCAGCTGGTACTGATCACCTCAGGCAAACTGATGTGAAAATATTTAACATCCCTGGGGAGAAGCCTTTAGTACTGGGAGAGACTCAGTGAAGTTGGATAAAGACAAGCCTTTTGAGTGGGATCCTCCAGGCTACCACTAGGTAGGTCAGATAATGACTACCCTTTGAGAAAGAGGCTTTCAAAGATCTCCAGCCCCACTATGCTCCCTCTGGTACTGGGAATGCATGCTGTTATTTTTCAAGGCTGCTGCAGAGCTGGAGAGCAGGAGATAAGACTAGAGTAAATTAAAATGCCACAAGATTGAGCTGTTTTTCTTGCTAAATGCTGTCTGGATTGCTGTAAGCCTTTGGTTAATTTCCAGAGTACTGAAAAAGTTGATTCTCACAAATTTTGGTATTTTTTAATTGTTTTTATGGAGGGGCAAACTTTTGGAGGTCCTTACTCCACCATTTTTTCTGGTATCAGCACCATCAGTTTTTTAATGGAGAGTCAGGGACTGAGATTTTGGGGTACCCATGATATGAGGGATTTCAAATAGTCACGTTGGATCATTTCTTTTTACTTGTTTAAGAGCAGACATCTTTAGCTTTGCTATTGATTATCTTAGGAAAAAATGTAATAATTTAATGATTTGACACAATGAGATGAGCAGCTAATTTATTTTTCATTCTTTATTTCAGAGACTTAAAAATAAAATTGCCTTTGAATTTAAGTAAATTCTGTTGTTGAGAAGAAGGAATTGAAAGAAACTCGTGGAGGTTTTTTTTTGAACAGTTAGAGACCACTGCCTTTGATAGTATTGTAAAAAGTTATTCCTATTAGATGATGATAAATAATGCCTGTTTTCTTCTTGTGGTTTACATTCTCAGGGCACCTTCGATGATTACTTGGAGTTATTCCTGCAGTTTGGTTATGTGAGCCTTTTCTCCTGTGTTTACCCATTAGCAGCTGCCTTTGCTGTGTTAAATAACTTCACCGAAGTTAATTCAGATGCCTTAAAAATGTGCAGAGTCTTCAAACGTCCATTCTCAGAACCTTCAGCCAGTATTGGTGTATGGCAGGTAATTATTTGAGAAAAAATTATTCCTTTAAAAAAAAATAACAAAATGAGGCATTGTAATTTTAAAAAGAAGCCCTAAAGAGAGATTTGGGAAAACTGGATTTTATCCTTGCTCTACCACAAACTAGCTCTGTGACTCAAATAGTCATTAACTTTCTTTGGGCCTCACTTTTCTTGTTTTTAAAGTTGAGGGGTGGGTCAGGTAAAATAGTCTCTAAGACCCCTTTCAGTTGCAAAATTCTGACAATTTTCTAGGAAAGTAACTGGAACATCACCCACTAATGCTAATGAGGCCCTCCTCACTGCATTGTTAGTGGAGACCACATAGGGAACCTGGACTTCTATGCCTGCCTGACAGTAACGAGGCTCCATTTCCAGTCCCTGCTGGGGTGGTCTCAGAGAAAGCCTAGTGGAGAGTCAGGACTTTCACCACCACCCAGCACAATGGAAGCCACATGGGAGCACAAATGAGGCGCTTGTACCTCTCCCAGCAAAGGAAGTATCAGTGGTGGTCTAGTGGGAAACCAGAACTCTGACCCCTGTACAGTGATAATAAGGACCCCACCTCCTACATTAGGTGTCAGTGGTGTCCAAGCAGGGAACCTGGACTTCTACTTCTACCTATAGTGACAAGATACTGTCTTCTCTTCCCCTGCTGGAGTGGTGTCAGAGGAACCAATTAAAACATAAGCTTTAAATAAAATCTAGAGTCTTATAACACCCAAAATGTCTAAGTTTCTATCAAAAGTAACTCATCATTACCAAGAACCAAGATGATATCAAACTGAATGAAAAAAGGCAATCAGTAGATGCCACCACCAAAATGACACAGACATTAGAAATATCAAAGATTTTAAAGCAGCCATGAAAAAAATACTCCAACAAGTAACTATGAACACACCTAAAACAAATGAAAAAATAGAAAGAAATAGAATATCTCAGTAAAGCAATAGAAGATGTAAAGGAGAATCAAGTGGACGTTTTAGAAGTGGAAAATACAGTAACTGAAATAGAGAGCTCAGTGGATGGGTACAACAGCAGGATGGAAGGGATAGAGGAAAGAATCAGGAACTGGAAAACAGAACAATAGAAATTGCCCGATCTGAACAACAGAGAGAAAATAGACTGAAAAAGTAAATGTAGTCTCACAGATCTGTGTGACTATAACAAAAGATCTAACATTTCTGTCATTGGAGTCTGAAAGGAAAGGAAAAAGAAGGAGGGGCCGAAAAAATGCTTGAAGTGATAATGGCCAAAACTTTTCAGATTTGGCAAGAGACCTCAAACTACAGATTCAAGAAGCCAAGTGAACTGCAAACAGGATAACCCAAAGAAATCCATGTTGAGACACATCATAATTAAACATCTGAAAGCTAAAGACAAAGAAAAAGTCGTGAAAGCACTAATAGAGAAATGACTTCTTACCTATAGGGGAAAATGACAGCCAGTTTCTCCTCAGAAATCATGGAGGCCAGAAGAAAGCAGCAAAATATTTTTCAAGTGCTTAAAAGTACTGTCAATACAGAATCCTATATTCAGAGAAAATATTCTTCAAGAATGAAGGGGAAATCAAGACACTTTCAGACGAAGGAAAATGAACAGAATTTATTTCCAGCAGATCTGTCCTAAAAGAATGGCTAAAGGAGGTTCTCTAAACTCAGGAAGTGATAAAAGAAGGAATCTGGGAACATTAGGAAGAAAAAACCTGGTAAGCAAAATATGAGTAAATACAATAGACTTTCTTTCTCCTCTTGAGTCTTTAAAGTTGTGTTTGATGGTTGAAACAAAAACTATAACACTATCTAATGATTCTAAATGTATGTAGAGAGAATATTAAGACAGTTGTATTATAAATAGGCAATGGGAAGTAGGTTTCTATACTTCACTAGAACTGGTAAATAATGGCACAAATAAACTGTGATTATATATTTATATATATGTATGCATGCACACACACACACAGAGTCATGCGTTGCTTAATGACGAGGATATGTTCTGAGAAATGCTTCATTAGGCGATTTCGTCATTGTGCAAACACTGTAGAGTGTACTTACACAAACCTAGGTGGTTTAGGCTACTATACATTTAGGTTATATGGTACTAATCTTATGGGGCCACCACCATATATATGGTCCTTCGGTGACCAGAACGTCGTTGTGTGGTGCATGATTGTGTATATATATGTGTGTGTGTATATATATATATGCACACACACATACACACTATAATATATAAAGGATAAAAATGTAATATATAAAATATATTATATATAACATATAAAATATATATAAAATGTAATACATAGAGCAACCACTAAAAGGCTATATAAAAGATACACTCAAAAACAGATAAGTCAAAATGGAGTTCTAAAAAATGTTCAAGTAACCCACAGTAAGGCAAGAAAAAGAAAACAGAAATGAAAAACAGAGCAATCAAACAGAAAAAAAAGAAATGACAGACTTATGTCCTAACGTAAGTAATTACATTAACTGTAAATGGTCTAAAGACACCAATTAAAGACAGATTGGCAGAGTGAATTAAAATACATGACCCAACTGTAAGCTGGGTTTGAAACTCAGTTCAAACAAAATGATATAAGCAGGTTGAATGTAAAAGGATAGAAAAAGATATATGTGGAAATATTAACCAAAAGAAAGCAAGAGTGGCTATATTAATATCAAAGTAGACTTCTGAGCAAAGAAACTTACCAGAGAGGAACATTCTGTGATGATTAAAGGGTGAAATTACCAAGAAGACATAGCAATCTTAATGTGTATGCACCAAACAACAAAGTTTTAAAATACGTGAACCAAAAACTTACAGAACTGAAAGAAGACATAGATAAATTCACAATTATGGTTGGAGACTTTAACATCCCTTTCTCAAAAATTGGCAGAACAACTAGAGAGAAAATCAGCAGGGGTATAGAAAACCTCAACACCACCATCAAATAGCAGAATCTAATCAATGTTATAGAACATTCTACTCAACAACAGTAGAACACACATTCTTTTCAAGTGCTTACAAAACATTCAACAAAATGGACCATCTCCTGGGACATAAAACACACTTCAAAAATTTTAAAGAATTGAAATCATACATAGTATGTTCTCTGACCACAATGAAATCAAACTAGAAGTCAATAAAAAGATACTGGGAAAATCTGCAAACACTTGAAAACTAAACAACACATTTATAAATAATTAAAAGTCAAATAGAAAGTGTCAAGTGAAGTAAAAAAATACGTTGAATTGAATGAAAATGAAAATACAGCATATCAAAATTTGTAGGGCACAGCCACAGCAGTGCTGACAGGGTAATTTGTAGCACTAAATGCATACACTGGAAGAGAGCAAAAATCTCAAATCAATCTAAGCTCCTACTCAAGAAGCTAGAAACAAAGAACAAAATAAACCCAAAATAAGCGGAAAGAGGAAATAATAAAGATAAGAGTACAAATCAATGAGATTGAAACAGAAAAATAGTAGAGAAGATCAATGAAACAGTTCTTTGAAAAGATCAGTATAATTAACAAACCTTTAGCAAGACTGAAAAAGAAAGAGAGAAGAAACAAATAGCCAAAATAAAAATGAAATAGCAGATATCACTATAGACCCTGCAGACATCAAAAAGACAATAAGGGAATACTATGAATAACTCCACACATATAAATTTGACAACTTGGATGAAATGGACCAGTTTCTCCCAAAACACAAACTACTGCAACTCGCCCAATATGAAATAGATAATTTGAGTAGCCCCATAACTATAAGCAAATTGAATTTGTAATTGTAATTCCCCCCAAAAATGTCCTGGCTCAAATGGTTTCACTGGCAAATTCTCTTTTAAAGAAGAATTAACACCAATTTTACACAATTTATTCTAGCAAATAGAAGGAGGGAATATTTCCCAATTCATTTTATGAAGTTAATATTAGTGTGATAGCAAAAACCAAAGAGAGTACAAAAAAAGAAAACGATGAACTAATATCCTTTGTGAATAAATACACAGAACACTTTAACAAAATATTAGCAAATAGAATTCAGCAATATGTAAAAAGAATTATACACTGTGATAAGTGGGATTTAGTCTAGGGATGCAAGTCTGGTTAAATATTAGAAAATTAATCAGGGCCGGCCCCGTGGCTTAGCGGTTAAGTGCGCGCGCTCCGCTGCTGGCAGCCTGGGTTCAGATCCTGGGCGCGCACCGATGCACCGCTTCTCCGGCCATGCTGAGGCCGCATTCCACGTACAGCAACTAGAAGGATGTGCAACTATGACATACAACTATCTACTGGGGCTTTGGGGAGAAAAAGGAGGAGGATTGGCAATAGATGTTAGCTCAGAGCCAGTCTTCCTCAGCAAAAAGAGGAGATTAGCATGGGTATTAGCTCAGGGCTGATCTTCCTCCAAAAAAAAAAAAAGAAAAAAAAAATTAATCAATGTAATCCACCTTATTAATAGTCTAAAGAAGAAAAATCAAATGATTATATCAATCAATACAGATAAAGCATGTGACAATATCTGACACATTTATTTTCAAAACTCTCAGAAAAATAGGAATAGAGGGGTATCACTTCAGCTTGATAAGGAATATCTATAAAAAACCCTAAAGCTAACAACATACTGTGAAAAATTGAATGCTTTATTTCTAAGATTAGGAGAAATGGAAGGATGTCCACCCTCAGTACTCTTATTGAACATAGTATTAAAAGTTCAAGCTAGCATAATAAGGCTGACATGTCTCCAGTTGACCCACTGGATGACTGAAGGTACGTGAGTAAGCCCAGTCAAGGTCAGCTGAGACTAGAAGAATTGCCTGGATGAGCACAGCCTAAATTGTACACCTGCGGAATCGTGAGCTAAATAAATGGTTGTTGTTTTAAGCCACAGAGATTGGGGTTATTGGTTATGCAGCAATAGCTTCTTGATATAGAAAGACTCAGTATTTTAAATATACCAGTCCTCCTTTAATTTACAAATTTGCACATTAATAAATCTGCAATTTAACTTATAAGTGTAGCACTATTCCGACCAAAGTTTTTCTTTTCTTTTTCTTTTTTTTTTATGAGGAAGATCAGCCCTGAGCTAACATCCAATGCCAATCCTCCTCTTTTTGCTGAGGAAGATTGGCTCTGGGCTAACATCCCTGCCCATCTTCCTCTACTTTATATGGGATACCACCACAGCATGGCTTGACAAGCAGTGTGTTGGTTCACGCCCGGGATCCGAACCTGCGAACTCCAGGCTGCCGAAGCGGAGGGCACAAGCTTAACCACTATAACACCAGGCCGGCCCCCAAAGTTTTTCTTTTGATTAGATAAACTTATTATAAAGTTCACAGGGAAAAACAAATGAAATAGAATAGCAGGAAAACTCTAAAGAAGAAGAGTAGAGACACTCCTTACCACGTATTAAAACTTGTCTTATAACTTTAGTTATTAAAGTAGTGTATTACTGGTGCATTAGTAGACAATCAGACCAATGGAACAGAATAGAAAGTCCGGAAATTCACTATGTGATGTAGGTGAAATCTCAATTCAATGGGAGAAATGATTGTCCACTAATAGTGTTGGGATAACTTGGTCTCCAAATGGGGGGAGAAGTTTGCTCTTCAAAAGTTAAGAGAACAAAAGGCAAGATACAGAATGGAAGGAAATATTCAGGAGATATATGTCTGCCAGAGGACTTGTATTCAAACTATATAAAGAACTACAACTCTATAATAAGACAATTAAACCAATAAAAACATGGACAAAAGATTTGAAGAAATACTTCACTGAAGAATATATGTGAATGGCCAGTGAGCTCATGAAAATATTTATAATTAGTTACAAGGGAAATGCAAATGAAAAGCATAAGATAGACTACACACCCATTTTAAAATTAAGAAGATTGATGGTACCAAATGTTGGCAATGATGTGTAGTAATTGGAACTCTCATATGTTGCTGGTGAGGATGTATAATGGTACAGTCACTTTCCAAAACTAGATGGCAGTTTGTTAAAAGTTAAATATATGCCTAGCGTGACACCCAACACTTCACTACTAGATATCCAGGAGACATGGAAGAATATGTCCATACAACGACTGCACAGAAAGTGTCCATAGTAACTTTATTCACAATATTTCCAAACTAGAAACAACCCAATTTGCCATCAAAAGGTAAACGGATAAAAAAATTATGGTATATTCATAAAATGGATATATAATAGGAGTATATATCCATTAAAAAGAATATATATCCTTTTTAAGGATAAAAAAGGAATAAAGGAATGAATTACTATATATGTAATATGGATCAATCTCAAAATCATGCTGAGTGAAAGAAGCAGACACAAATGATTGTGTCATTTGTGTGATTACAATTATATAACATTTTGGAAAACGCAAACTAATTTATAGTGACGGAGTGTAAAGAGAGGGATGGATTGCAAAGCATCATGAGGAGTCTTCTGGGGGAAATGGAGATGTTCTCTATCTTGTTTGTGGTGGTGGTTTCACAGGTGAATACATCTATCAAAACTTAATGAAGTTATACCTTAAATGAATGCAGTTTATTGTACATAAATTATAACTCAATATAGGTAATATTTAAAATCCAAAAGTTTAGTTACAGAGGTATTAAAAGTACAAGAAGCCAGGCACTCTCATATGTTGCTGATTGGAGGCTGAACTGGTCAACCCCATGGAGTGCAGCTTGGTAATATCTATCAAAATTACAAATGCATGGCACCTTTGACTCAGCTATTCCACTTGCAGGAATTTATTCTACTACCACACTTGTTAAATGATGTATTTACAAGGTTACTAATTGTAGCATTGTTTGTAATAGCAATTAATGCCCACCAATAAGGAAATGGTTAAATATATTCTGGTACATCCATGCAATGAAATACTTAAGCAGTTGTGATCAAGAATGAGGGAGTCTGACAATGCGTATTATGCCAAAAAGGGAGTAAGACAGGTGTATATATTTGAGTTTGCTTATATTTGCATACAAAATGTCTGGAAAGGTATATAAGAAATTAATAATAGTGATTATCTTGTAGGGAGAACAGGAGCTGGCAAAGGGGAGAAAGGGGGACGAGGAGACTCTTCCTTATATACTTATAATATTTGATTTTTGAACTATGACTATAATTATAAAAGATGAATAAATAGAAATTTTAGCTATTTAAAGAGAATATAAAGTCCTGAGTAGGTTTGTTGTAAAGAAAACTATGGAAAATAATCAGATTACACAAAGGATTCCTAAAATATAAGATAGCAGAAATTCTCAATGGGACAAGATATTTATTGTTTGGATCCAATCATGTTTTGTTTTGTTTCTTTTAAAATTTATATTTCTAATAGTAATTGTATTTCTTAGAATTAGTGGTTAAGTTATTAAGTATTGATCACCAAGTGCTGTACATTAAAAAAAAAAAGGAAAGAGCAATGGTCGCAACATTTCCACAGTCCATACTCGGTAAACACTGGATCAGTGTCTGTTTAGTTGGTTTCCGTGGGGTCTGGCATCTGTGTTTTTCTAAAGTTCTACAGGTGACTGGTAAATGCCACTAGAAAGGGATCACTGAAACTGGTGCTTCGGGTGTAGCTGAACCAGATATGGTGTGTGATCTGTCAAAGTGGAAGGACAGTTTCACAAAATAAGTTCTGTTTGAAATTGTACCTGTTTTTGAATGCGAAACGTTTCTCTGGCAGCGCTTCTTTAGAGTCCCTGTAGGTGTGAGTAGGGTAGAGTACCTTGAACAGTGTATTCTCCCAGGACGTATTCCAAATTCAGGTCTCCGGCCACCTCCAGTTGGGAAGGTAGAACAACTGCATTGGGATATTCAAGCCAAATGTACCTAACATACCTTCTAACAGTATGGCTTTTTTAAGCTAAAGAAAATCATGGCATTATAGAAAAAAATTTTTAAATGTACTCGGAATATTTGGAAGTAAGGAAAGGGTTTTTCCTTTGATTTTAGATGATATGAAAAAGGATGAGGAAATATGAAAGTGGTCCTTGCAGTTTTTAATTTCCTATTCTTTTTTTTTTTAGCTGGCTTTTGAAACAATGAGTGTTATATCTGTGGTCACTAACTGTGCTCTGATTGGAATGTCACCACAAGTGAATGCACTCTTTCCAGAGTCAAAAGTGGACCTGATTTTGATTGTAGTAGCAGCAGAGGTAAGTGAAAATTTAAACCTGTCTTAAATAGTTTCTACATCAGCTGCTTCTTTTATTCTAAAGCAGTGATATCACTGGCTGTCAGTGACTGGCAATTTAGCAACATGAATTTACTGGTAAGAAAGCAAAGGAGTTCCAGTAATGGGAAGACATGAGGATTGAGGCTCAGTTTTCCTGGTGATTGCCCGGGTATGAAAAACAGTCATCATGGTGCAAACAGGAAAGTGACTTTTCCGGCCATTGTGCTGACCTGTCCAATGCTGAAATAGAATTCTGTAGATTTAATATGTCTTTGTAGCTTATTCTAGGGATCTGTCACTTTTACTTTCTTAAGCAAATAAATCCTAAGAAATGCTTTTTGATAATGATTTATGTCTCATTTGCGACAGTTGTGAAATTCATTGCAAAACACTAAAACTCCAAAATGTAATGTGTAAGAAGACTCATATTTTCACGTAAAAGTACAAGTAGGCTGTCTGTGTACTTTTTAGGTTTTCATTTTGTTTATCATGTTTCTGAATATGGATTACTGTAACATCTTGAAAATTAAGCACCAACCAATTGCAAATGGAAGAATTTACAGAAATTTTTTTTTGTTAGTGATTGTAGTTCATTTTTACATATTTTAAAAATAGAAAAGTTGTGAAAATTTATTAAAGCTGAATTTAGCAGGATCATAGAGCAGTGATTCATATACCTAAGGCCTCAGGACTTAGGGCTTGCCAGAAGAAATGAAATCATGGACTTTTACATTTCCAGTAGTGGCTAAAAAAATATATTCTGCTTTGCTCTATTTGCTCTTTTAGCATATTTAATAGGAATCTGTGTTCGCAGTAGATGCTATATGTAGAATATGCATTTTGGAGAGTGATTTTAGACAGCAGTGAGTAGGAGGGGAAGAGAGTGGCTCTGGCAGATAAAAGTAGGTCTGTTCTGAATTTTGTGAGTTGAATAGGATTTTGGAGAGCCATTTGTAAGGCTGATTTATTACCTGTGGAAGTGAGAGACCAAAACAGAGGTATGTTAGACAGAGGATGGCCTGCTGTCCAGGCTCATAGTGTACCTTCTTGATTAGGATATGGCCCTTAACTTTGCAGATCTAGGAACTTGTCTTTGCCGGTACACCCAGAGTTAATTAGGCTTTGGGGACTGACTTACACTTAAAACTAGTGCGACTCACAAGGGACTGACCAGAATGCCGGGTAGTTAATTTACCATAAGGAGGTACTTTTCCAACGACCCTAACAGTTGATGTTAAAGTAAAAGTGGAATTGGTTATTAGAAGATTTATTGGTAAATTTAGAACCAGAGGAAGAGGACTGTAATAGCCTTAAGAGACAAAAAACTTGAAAACCATCCCTACCCCCAAACCAAGCAGGGCTCTGTCGTGAGCCAGATCTTGGTGTCCGTAGCCTGCTTCTGAGCAGTGCTGGATGCATGCAGTACTGCCCACCTCTTGATTTTGCCTTCACTTTCTCTAGATTTCTGGCTGGCCTAGTCTTCTTGTATATTTCCATTGATTGGGCTACTGCTTTCTTATGTATTTGGTGATATCTTGATTAGCTATCCAAGGCCTCGTTCTTCTCATTTAATTTGGGAGATTTCCTGGCCTACGGGACTAATCTGCAGATGGCGAACCTCAAGTGTTACAGGGTGATTTTGATAGTCTAGTCCTCATGGATTCACTTAATCTGCAAGTTCTAGGGGTACTTTGTTGTTGCTTCTAGGTTCTATCTATTATACTTCCGCTTAAGTTTTTTGTCTCTTCATATCGTATTAAAACAACTGTTTTACTGTCATTATCTAAACTGGTTCCTTAGAGTGTAATATAAGTGAGTTTCTGTTAAAAATGTTTGTAGGGAAAAACCTTGAGTTATCTACAGAAAATTTAAATTGTTAGCCTGTAATTGTGACTTAAATTTTCATTTCTTTTTTAAGCTTTTTATTTTGAAATAAATACAGTCGTGCATCACTTAACGATGAGTATAAGGTCTGAGAAATGTGTTGTTAGGTGATTTTGTCATTGTGCAAACATCATAGAGTGTACTTACACAAAGCTAGTAGTGTACTACACACCTAGGCTATGTGGTACTAATCTTACGGGACCACTGTCATATATGCAGTCGGTCGTTGAACAAAATGTTATGTGGCACATGGCTATATAAGTCAAGGGAAGTTGGAAAGATAGTAAACGGGTCCTATACACCCTTTACCCAGTTTACCCCAATGATTACATCTTACGTAACTGTAGTATGATACCAAAGCCAAGAAGTTGACATTGATACAATGTGTGTATAGTTCTTTGTCATTTTATCACGTGTATAGGTTCATTTCACCACCACCACCACAATTAAGATACATCTCTGTCACCACAAAGATCTTTCTCCTGCTAACCCATTTATAGTCACATCTATCCCTTCCTCCATCATCCCTAACCACTGGCAACCACGAATCTGTTCTCCGTCTCTATAATTTTGTCATTTCAAGAATATTATATAAATGGAATCATACAGTATGAAGCTTTCCTTTTGTAATTTCTATTATGGACTGAATTGTGTCTCCCCAAAAGATATGTTGAAGTCCTAACCCCTAGTACTTCAGAATGTGACCTTATTTGGAAATGGAGTTGTTGCAGATGTAATTACTTAAAATGAGGTCATATTAGAGTAGAGTAGACCCTTAATCCAGTATAACTGTTGTCCTTATAAGAAGAGAAGAGACACACAGAAACACATGGGGGCACGCCATGTGATGATTGAAGTGCTATAGCTGCAAGCCAAGGAACACAAGGATTGCCATCAACCACCCAAACCTAGGAAATGCCAAGGAAGGATTCTTTTTTATAGGTTTCAGAGGGAGCATGGCCTGGCCAACACCTTGATTTCAGACTTCTACTCTCCAGACTATGAGACAATAAATTTCTGTTGTTTTACGCCATCCAGTTCATAATACTTTTTTATGGCAGCCCTAGGAAACTAATACAATTTCCTAAGATCTTCCTTTAACCAGTCTTTAAGGGTAGGTCTGCTAGTGACAAATTCTCTTCGCTTTTCTTTATCTGAGAACTTTTTTTTTCCTCTTTCATTCTTGAAGGAGAGTTTCATTAGATATAGAATTCATAGATGACACTATTTTATTTTGGCACTTGGAAAGTATTTTGGCACTTCCTTCTGGTCTCCGTGGTTTTAGATGAGGAATCTGCTGTCATTGAAACTGGTGTTCTCCTAGAGGTAATGTGTCCTTTTTCTCCAGCTGCTTTTAAGATTTTTTTCTTTATCTTTAGTTTCCGAAAGTTTGATTATGGTTGGTCTTGGTGCAGATTTATTTGGGTTTGTTTTCTTCAGGGTTTGCTCAACTTCTTAGGTGTGTAGATTTGTTGTTTCACCAAATTTGGGAAATTTTCAGCTATTATTTCTTCAAATATTCTCTTTCTTCTTTCCATCTGGGATTCTGATGATATGAATGTCAGATCTTTTGTATTTTCCCACGGGTCCCTAAGGCTCTGTTCAGGTTTTTTTTTTCAGTATATTTTCTCTGTTGTTCAGATTGGGTGAATTCTATTGATGTGTCCTCAAGATCATTGATTCTATCCTCTTTCATTTCCACTCTTCTATTGAGGCCATCCACTGAGTTTTTAAGAATTTCTATTATTACATTTTTCAGTTCTATAACTTCCATTTGGTTCTTTTTATAACTTCTATTTCTTTGCTGAGATTTTTTGTTTTTCCATGTTTCAACAGGATTTGTAATTGATTGTTGAAACATTTTTATGATGACTTGTCTTCACTCAGGCTGCTACAACAAAATTCCATAGACTGGGTGACCTAAACAACAGACAATTTTTTTTTGTGTGTGTGAGGAAGATTGGCCTTGAGCTAAAACCTGTTACCAATCTTCCTCTTTTTGCTTGAGCAAGAGTGGCCCTAAGCTAACATCCATGCCCGTCTTCCTCTATTTTGTATATGGGTCACTGCCACAGCATGGCTTGATGAGTGATATAGGTCTGCACACGGGATCCAAACCCATGAACCCAGGCCGCGGAAGCGGAGTGCGCCAAACTTAATCCCTATGCCACTGGGCCAGCGCCCAGACATTTATTTTTTACAGTTCTGAATTCTGGGAAGTCCAAGAACAAGGTGCTGGCAGATTTGGTTCTTGGTGAGGAGTCTCTTCCTGGCTTGCATTCAGCTGCCTTCTTGCTATGTGCTCACATGGCAGAGAGAGGAAGCTCTGATGTCTCTTTATAAGGTCACTAATCTCTTCATGGGGGCTCTACCCTCATGACCTCATCTAAACTTAATTACCTCCCAACGGCCCCAGCTCCTAATACCATCACACTGGGGGTTGGGCTTCCACATATGAATTTTGGGGGGACACAAACATTCAATATGTAACATGACTGCTTTAAAATCCTTCTCAGATGATTCCAGCATCTGACTTATCTCAGTGCTGGTGTCTATTGATTGTATCTTTTCAATCAAGTTGAGATTTTCCTGGTTCTTGTTATGATGAGTGATTTTTGATTGAAAGTTGAACGTTATGTTCTGCATTATGCTCTGAGACTCTTGATCTTATCTAAATCTTATGTTTTAGCAGGCCTCCTCTGACACCACTCTAGTGTGAGGGTGAGGGTGAGGTGTGTCACCTTGTTAACCTAGTTGGTGGTAGAAGTCCAGGTTGCCAACTTGGACTCCATTGTCACCTGAGGGGGGTCCTATAAGAATAAGAAAAGAATAAGAATAAGAATAAGAAAGTCTTCACTTTCTTATTAACCTTTTTTTTTCCTCTTCAGCATAGGACCTCTTGCACATAGGACTTCTCTTTGGGCCTGGCTAACACACTTTTATTCCTTAAGTCTCAGCTCAGATATTGCTGAGGCCTTTGTGATCCATCCATCTCAGCTAGAACTTTTCTGTTAGTCTCATGAAGCCTCGTATTCTTCTCCTTCATGGCATTTATCTCACTTATAAGCCTTGAACTTACTTGATTTACTTGTAGGT